CAAGGGGGGGGACATTGAGTGGTCTTTAAGGTCCCTTCCAACCTAAATGGTTCTATAGTTGCCAGGAGAACATGGGAGAGTTGGGGTTTGGAAGGTGGGTTTTGGGGCTATGGGTGTAGCCTCCTCGTGCCAAAGGGGGTCACACTGGGTGGGTGACCCTTCTCCTTGGTTGTGTTCGAGCTCCTTTTGGTAGCCAGTGGCTCCTTCCCTTCAGGTTCAGGAACGTGATTTTCGACATCATCCCCTGCGAGGAATCGGGCCGGTTCCAGGTGAAAGCCAAATTCATGGGGATCGACATGGAGCGGTTCCAGCTGCACTACCAGGTGACAGGGAGCCCCTCATGGGGATGCTGGGGGTGGTGATGTCCCCACTCCTGGGTGGTTTGGGGGGGATTCAGAGCCCATGGGGGGCCATGCCCTGAGGTGGGGACAGCCTCTCCCAGCGTCTCCCTGATGCTAAACCCAGCTCCGTGCTGGTTCCCCGCTCCCCTGGGGGATGCTGCAAGTGGGAGGACATGGTGGGACATCCCCCTCCCCAGCCTGGTGACGGTCACCTCTCCCCCAGGACCTGCTGCAGCTGCAGTACGAGGGCGTAGCCGTCATGAAGATGTTCGATAAGGCCAAAGTCAACGTCAACCTGCTCATTTTCCTCCTCAACAAGAAGTTCTTCAAGAAGTAACAGGGTGGGGAGGGCTATGGGGGGGTGGGGGTTGGTGTAGATCTGCCAAAGAAACTTTGGGGTGGGTGGTCCTGGGGCCACGTGTCCCATGTCCCAGAAAGCTTCATGGCAAGCAGCAGCTTTCCTGCCCTCACCCCGTGTCCTTCGAGCATCTGCAGCCACCAGTGTCCGACTGGGGAGGGCCAGAAGGCTCTGAGCTCAGCCTTGGGCAACCAGAAATCAGTGGTGGCTAGTGGCCAGCTCGTAGCACCCCCTCCCACCCCTGGGGCTTGCGCGGGCGCGAGCTGGTACCCGACCCTCCCCCCAGGAAGGATGTGGCTGCCACAGCTTTTGCAGCGCCTGTAGTTTGTAAAAAAATCTAGGTTTTTTGTGAGTTTTTTTGGCTGTTTCGTTCCTGAGTCGCAAACAGCTGGCTGCTGTAGGACACAGTAGATTTCTGGACACTACACATGTTTTTAGTGATGAAATAAAGCTATATTTTAATATATATATATATATTTCTTCTTCCCGCTGAAGAAGGGGAAGGTGACGTCAGGATTAGACGTCAAAGGATTGTCAGAAAGGTGTCAGAATCAGGTTTTACGTGGGGGTAGGAGAGAGGGAGGGCTTGGAGGCAGTGACTGCTTGTGAACACACCCCAGGGCTCTTCTCTACTCAATCATGGTGCAAGAGGAGAATTTTGTGTTTTAAAAGTGAATTTTTAAAAGCCTGCTCTCCAGCCAGGCCCGAGGAACAGAGGAGGGTGGCCCCAGGATGCTGTGGGGACTGCAGCAGGGACCTCTCCTCTGGACCACGCTGATGCCCGGCAGCTGGGATGGAGCAACCCCGAGCTCCTCTCTCTACCAGGGGTGGTGTCTGCTTCGTCCCTTGTTAATCAGCTCTGGTGTTTAATTAGTTTTCTGAAGTGTGGCGTAATGAACAAGTTTGGCCATGGCTGTTTTTAAAGCACTTTCTCCTTCCTTAAGCTCCTTCACCAGCCCCTTCCACGGGATGGACAAGGGGCTGGTGATGGTCCCAAGCCTCCTCCTGGCCCTGTCTCCTCCAGGCACAGGAGCCGCAGGTCTCAAACCTCCAGAGAGGAGCTTTTTTGGGGGGGACCCGAGTGGGAAACCCCATCACTGCTTCGGGAACTACCTTAGCACCTCGAGGCAGCTCAATGGTACCCTGATCTGTTGGTGTCTGTCTTTGGAAAGTGACGTTTGTTTGTGAGGTTTTTATGTATTTCTTTTCCCTTCTGTCATTTCCAAGCTGCAAGCGGCGCTCACCCCCTCCACCGTGTGTGTCCCCCCCCCCAGCTCTGCTGCCCTGGCTCATTTATTCTCAATAAATATGTATAATAAAATACAGAATGGCTCTGGGTGGTCGTTTCTCCTTAGACCTGGAGAACCTTAGACCACAGGAGAAGCCCTGTGGTCTTCTCCTTACCCTCCTTTTCACTTACTGGGTGTTTTCCAGCTCTTGGCCTCCCCTCCAGCACCCCGGGGGGTGTCATCATTCCCCATGGGTGCCATCACTCCTGCTGGGTGCCATCATTCCCCACGGGAGCCCCCGTTCCCCATGGGAATGGTCCCGGCATTGGCTTGGGGTGGCGCTGAGTCAGATGCTGAGCCATCGCCTCGTGCGGGGGGGAATTTGGGCCACTTTCAGCCACACTTAATTCTGAAATAAATAATCTGATTGCTCCTCCTGAAGGCTGTGATTATAACTCCCAAGGAATGGATTGGGATAAGCTGGAGAACTCTGCCAGTTTTAAAATAGGACTGGGCTGGGGTTAACCCCTTGGGTGCTGCACCCTCAGCAGGGACCTCAGTTCTGTGGGGCTGCCGGTGTGTTTTAATCATTAACCCCTTTTTTTCCCCACTTCTGGCTGCCATATTTTAGTTTAACTTCCTTGCCTTCAGAGGAAGAAGAGCTGCCTCTTCTCCAGCTGGGGCTTGGGGGGCTTTATCTGCCACCAGCCACCGTTGCTGTGTCAGGAGCAGCCTTTGATGCCCTGAAACCACTTATTGGTGATGTTTAGGGGATGGAGGGGGGAGCCTGAATAATAATAATAATCATCATCATCATCCCTTGTTCTTCGTTAAACACACACCTTGATGGGGCTGGGCACAGGCTGGAGGGGACTTGGTGTTGCTGTGGAAAAGGTGATTTTTTGGGCTCCTAAGAAGCTGTTGGTGGCCAGCAGTGACTCAGAAATGGGGTGCTGGCTCTTTTCTGCCCACGGTGTGTTGAAGAGGGAAATTGAGCCCTGGAAATGCTGGCGTGTGTCGGGCTGAGCCATTTCCCAAGGCAGCTCCACTAGATGTCATTGCAAGCTGGGGGAAAGCGGAGAGGGAGCCCAGGAACCCGCGGTGGGTGCTGTGGGCACCCGGGACCATCGAGTCTATGAAGGAATTGGGGGTGTTGGGGAGGGGGGGGAAGAAGCTTGCCATGGGCCAGCAACCTGTGCTGGCAGCCCAGCAAGCTCCCAGCCCCCTGGGCTGCACCCCCAGGGTGAGGGGGATTCCGACCCTCTGGGGAGGCACCCCCCCCCCCAGTGCTGCCTCCAGCTCTGGGGCCACCAACAGCAGAAGGACATGGAGCTGTTGGAGCGGGGCCAGAGGAGGCCTCGGAGATGCTGGGAGGGCTGGAGCCCCTCTGCTGGGAGGGGGGGCTGAGAGGGTTGGGGGGGTTCAGCCTGGAGAAGAGAAGGCTCCGGGGAGACCTTGGAGCCCCTTCCAGTCCCTCAAGGGGCTCCAGGAAGGCTGGGGAGGGACTCTGGATCAGGGAGGGGAGCGATCGGATGAGGGGAAGGGTTTTAAGCTCAAAAAGGATAGATTTAGGTTAGATATTGGGAAGAACTTCTTTATTTTGAGGGTGGTGAGAGCCTGGCCCAGGTTGGCCAGAGAAGCTGTGGCTGCCCCATCCCTGGAGGGGTTCAAGGGCAGGTTGGAGGGGGCTTGGAGCAACCTGGTCTGGTGGGAGGTGGCCCTGCCCAGGGCAAGAGGGGGAACTGGGTGATCTTTAATGTCCCTTCCAACACAAAATATTCTGTGATTCTGTGGTAACTATAATTCTCTTTGGGTACCAGCAGCCTCCTGCCATGGGAGCCTGGATGAGCTGTGACCCCCCCCATGGTGTCGCCCTGGCTGGAGGGATGGATTGGTCACACCAATCTCAGGATGGGTGACAGGGACTTGTCCTCACACACACAGCCCCTGGTCTCTTCTCTGCCCTGTGGGCTTTCCCTTGGCACTGAGCTCACTGGGGGCTGTGTGGGGCTCACCCAGACTGGGACATCCAACTGGAAAGGGGACGGGGAGGAGAGTCAAGTCCTGCCCCAACTCGTTCCTAAAATCATCCTGAAACTTGTCATTTGGGGATGGGGATAAAGGGAGAGATTTGGGCTCCTCCTGAGGCTCATAGGTCACCCAGTCCAGCCCCAGTGGGTCCTGTGCAGTAGCTTGCACCATCCAGCACCTAGAATCTGTGCACTGTCCTGCAGCCTGTGCACCATCCAGCACCTAGAACCCATGACCCATCACCCATCCATCATCCTGCACCCATGCACTGTCCAGCACCTAGAACCCATCACCCATCCATCATCCTGCACCCATGCACCGTCCAAGATCTGGGGGGAGAGATGGATGGGATGGGATGGGATGAGTTGGAGGAGTGCAGGAACGTTCATGGCAGGGAGCTGGCTGCCCTGGGAGCATCCTTTGTCTACTCCAGTGCACTTGCAGGGACCCACAAACCCCCAAAAGGATGAGAAGTTGTTAAATTGGGCTTGGAAAGCTGCTGCCAAGAGTCCCGATCCCACCAGCTTGGGGGCTGCCTGGGCCGGTGCAATGGGCACAGGAGGTGTCAGGTGCTTGGGGAGTTCCGTATTGGGGTGTTTGGTGTTGGGGTCTCAGATGTTGGGGTGTTTGGTGTTGGGGTGTCAGATATCGGAGCGTTTGGTGTTGGGGTGTCAGATGTTGGGGTGTTTGGTGCTGGGGTGTTTGGTGCTGCGAGTGTCAGATGTTGGGGTGTTTGGTGCCAGGGATGTCAAGGGATGTCAGGTGCTGGGGTGCTTGGTGTTGGGGTGTCAAATGTTGGGGTGTTTGGTGCTTGGGTGTAAAGTGCTGGGGGTGCTCGGTGTTGGGGTGTCAGAAGTTGGGGTGTTTGGTGCTGGGGTGCTCGGTGCTGGCTCGAAGGCTCCTGCAGAGCCGCTCTCCCCCGGCATCACGTGCTGCGTGATGTTAATCCCATTTTGAAAGCCCGCGCCCCGCGCTGCGCCCGCTAATCCCCCCCTCCCCACGGCGGCTGCGGCGCTGCCTCGGCGAGTCCTGGGGTGTCCGTGGACCCCGGGCCCCTCCACGGGCACCTCGGGCCGCGTCAGCACCCTCTGCCCCCTCCTCCTTCAGCCCTGAGGGTGCTCCTGCTCCCCACTCTGTGCAATAGGGTGCTGAGTCCTGGACACCCCCCCCAAAACCACACTTGGGTAGAGTCACACGGGGTACATCCCGGCCCCGAGGTCAGGACATCCCAACAGCCTGGGAAAACACCGGCGCCTGCTTCGGGAAGAGGGAATTCACCTTCCGTGGCTGCCCTGGCTTCGGCACAGCCCCGATTCCTCAGCACGCCCAGACCTGGCACACAGGAGGTAGGTGAAGCGGCTCCAGCCTCCCCCTCCCAGATGGAATTTGGGGTTCAACTCGGGGTTTTTGGGCTCTTCCCCAGGAGTTTATCCCGGCAGCGGCGGGAGCTCTTGCCCCACGGCTCCTGCTGGGATGGCGCAGGCTGCCTGCGCTTCAGAATCGTATCGTTGCTCCCTTCCCGATGGCAGCAGCTTCCTCGTGGGAGAAGGGGAAAAAGCACAAACCGAACCGGGGAGAAAATAAGAGGGGAATGTTTGCCGACTGTCTGCTGTGTGTTGTTGCTGTTTGTTGTGTTTCCGCCGTTGCTTTGGCAACCCTGGGAAGAGATGCCAGGCTGGAGCATCGCGGGTACCAGCGCTGCGTGGTGGGGAGCTGTGGATGGGCTCGGCGAAGCTGACAGCCCCGTGGCAGCCCCCGGTGGGGATGGAGGGGGCTTTGGGGCAGGGGGATTGATGGGGGTCATGCTTGCACCCTCCTGGGTGAGCCTGGGACGGGGGCTTTGCACCCCTGGGGCCGGGGCATCCTCCAAGAGGGACCTGGATCTGAGATGAGCAAAGAAAGTGTGGTTTAAGGGTCTGTGGGTTTTCCTTGTCTGTGGGGAAAAGAGACAGGTCCTGTTCCCCAGGAGCCTGGGGAGCATCTGGGCTCATCATCCCCTTCCTTCTTGTCCAGAAGAAGGGGAGCAAACCAGCAGTGTGGTGGAGGGGGGGCTGCTGCGGCGTGGCGCTGGGCACAGCTCACAGGAGGGTCTGCAGGGACGTCGGGTGATGCCGTGGGTGCACCTGTATCCATCCGGGACAGGAGTCATTCCTCTTCTATCGGGTCACCAAACCATATGTGGCCTCACACGGGGTGGGATAAACTGATTTCTGTCTCCTGTAGCTTCCTCTTCAGGCTGGGCAGCCCGGCTGAGGTGGCAGGAGGGATGGAGCCCGGCTGGGAGGGGGGTGACCAGGGCAGAGGAGGGGAGAGGGGCTCGGGGAGGATGGTGATGCTCCAGGAGTCCCCCCCGGGAGCTGTGGGAGTGATGACATCCGTCAGAGCAGGAGCCCTGTGTGCCCCGAGGCATCCCCAGGGCAGAGCAATCAGGGGGTGGGTGAAGACTTTGCCCCTGGGGACCAGGATCTGCTCAGAGCAGCCAAAGCAGCACCAGAGACGTGTGTTAACTCTTTGTGGGCTGGAGAACAGGTCCTAGGAGCTGCTGAGGGAGCTGGGGGTGTTCAGCCTGGAGAAAAGGAGGCTGAGAGGAGACCTTCTCGCTCTCTACAGCTCCCTGAAAGGAGGGTGTAGCCGGGGGGGGTCGGTCTCTTCTCCCAAGGAACATCTGATGGGACAACAGGAAACGGCGTCAAGTTGCCCCAGGGGAGGTTTAGGATGGATATTGGGAGAAATTTCTTCATGGAAAGGGTTGTGAAGCCTTGGAAGAGGCTGCCCAGGGCAGTGGGGGAGTCGCCATCCCTGGAGGGATTTAAAAGCCGGGCAGACGTGGTGCTGAGGGCCATGGGTCAGTGGGGTTTGGGCAGGGTTGGGTCGGTGGTTGGACTCCACGATCTGAAAGGTCCCTCCCAACCTCAAGCATTCTATGAAGGGAGCTCCTCAGGGACATGGACATGGTCCTCCTGGAGCCTGCAGACCCCAGCTTTTCCTTCAGGCCAGTGGTTTGGGGGATGGGGGTCTGGTGTTTTCCATCCTAAGAGGTGTCAGCGTGGAAAGGTTGCAGCCTGTCGCTGGTTGGAAGGGCCAGTTTAATGACATAATTTAATCGCCGCATCTCCAACGGCTCTGGTGGTAACGGCGAGGAGAGGCCTGATGAGGAATCCTGCCCTGAACTGGAAGCTGACTCATTCCCCTCCCAGTCCCGGGGTCAGCGCTGGATTGCAAATAAACACACCAAATTCCCAGTGCTGGGTTCTGGGAACGTGCTCCCGGCCCCGCGCGGAGGGCAGGGACCCGGGAAGGGGCTGGGGATCCTCCTGCTCCTGCTGCATCCTCCACCCTGGGAGCAGGGGGGGCTTTGGTGGCACCTGGAGCCACCTCGGGGTCGGGGGGATAAAAACCCCAGGGAGGGGAAAAACCCACCGCGTTGCTCTGATGAGGGTCTGAAAAAGCCCAAACATGGTGATTCAGCTTCCTCTTCCCTTTCCCAAATGGAGGGAGCAGGGATTGCTCCCCAGATCTCTTGCACCTTTGCTGTAGATCCCAGGTGAGACCCAATTCCTGTTTCCTCTGGGTCCAGCCCCATCCCCTCCTCCATGTCTCCATCACGGTGTCTCCGGGTGAACCTTCAGCCCAAGCCCAACTCTGGGGAGCGAGGAAAACCGAAGCAACAAGAGGATGGAGCTGGGACTTTGAAGCCACATCCGACTCCCAGGATGTGGGGCTGGGAGTGTGTGTGTGTGTCTGTGTGGGGCGGGAGCAATTTCTGCCCCAAAAATCTGGTGTGGGGCTGAGCAGAAACAGGCACCAGCTGTGAGTCACCCCACGCGGCTCCTGGCGAGGAAGGAGTGACCTTGTGGTGCTGAGCCAGCGTGGGCTGGGGACCGTGACCCCCCCGGCCACGGGAAGGGGAAGCTTTTGCTCAGCAGGGATGCTCCAAGGGGAAAAAATGAGCTCTGGGGCTGGGACTGGAGGGGACTGGAGGGGACTGGAGGAGACTGGAGGGGACTGGAGGGGACTGGAGCAGCAGGCCAGGGAAGGTCCGGGGTCTGCCCCTTCTCTGAGGGGTCTTGCTGGAGCAGTGAGGCAGGATTTGGGCATTCCTGACCCACTGGGTGGTGTGGGGTGGTGTCTCAGCAAGCGGCCCCCCCCTCCCAGGGCCAGGACCTGCTCTGCTGTGAAACTCCAGTGGAAATAAAAGAAAATAACAATAAAATAAATAAATCTTCCCTCTGCTCCTGCCACCGTGTCCTCAGCCTTGGGATCCTCCCAGGCTGGAGCTCACCAATTTTTCCCCCCCCACCCTCCTCCCCCCGGCTCCGACTTCTCCTCCTTCAACTTTTTTCGCTTGAATCAGCGGACGTGACTCACCGGGAGGAAAGAAAGGGCTTGGGGTGACCTGGGCTCCGGCCACGGCGGGTCCCTTTGGGGACAGGGGCCGATGCAGCCGGACAGAGCTGGGGTATGAACCCCCTTTCCTGGGAGGGGGCAGACCCAGGGGGGCCATTTGCCTGCGTCCCCTCCCCAGCCCAGCCCAGTGGGTGCAGCCAGGTGGAAACTGGTTGAGCCGGAGCACCCCGTCCCGGCAGAGAGGGGACATTCCTTTGGAGGGGACCCTTGGGGGGGCTGCAAGACACACCTGTACCTTCATCACCGGGGTGGCCATGGCACCTCAAAGGGACCAGGCGCTGGGGACACGTGTCCCCAGGCTGGTGGAGGGGGGGGTGAGGTGGAGAAAATGGCTGGGTGGCAGTGGGTTTGCTCCTCCCGGCACTGGGTCAGGGGAGCAGCCGGGTGAGGGTGCCAAATCTTGGATTAGTCAAAGAGATCAAGCAGCAGCAGGATTAGGGAGTCAAGAGAGCCCAGCCACGGAGGGGGGGAGGAAGCGGGGGGAAACAGCCCATGGAGGAGGATTTGTGTCCAGTTCTGGGCTCCCCAGGTCCAGGAGGACAGGGAACTGCTGGAGAGGGTCCAGCAAAGGGCTACAAAGATGCTGAGGGGCCTGGAGCATCTCTCTTGGGAGGAAAGGCTGAGGGACTTGGGGCTTTTTAGTCTGGAGAAGAGAAGACTGAGAATCAACACCTATAAATACTTCAAGGGTGGGGGTCAGGAGGATGGGGCCAGGCTTTTTTCAGTGGTGCCCAGGGACAGGACAAAAGGAAATGGGCACAAACTTGAATAGAAGAAGTTCCACCTAAACACGAGGAGGAACTTCTTCACTTAGAGAGTGGCAGAGCCCTGGAAGAGGCTGCCCAGGGAGGTGGTGGAGTCTCCTTCTCTGGAGACATTCAAACCCACCTGGACACAGAATCACGGAATCAGGGAAGTGCTGGAGTTGGAAGGGACCTCCAGAGATCCCCTGGTCCCACTCCCCGGCCAAAGCAGGGCTGCCCCGAGCACATCACTCAGGAGCATCCATTGGGGCTTGAAGATCTCCAGAGAAGGGGACTCCACACCCTCCCTGGGCAGCCTCTGCCAGGGCTCTGCCACCCTCACCCCAAACAAGTTCTGCCTCACATTGGAGGGGAACTTCCCCTGGTCCAGCTTGTGCCCGTTGCCCCTCGTCCTGTCACTGGGAACCACTGAGAAGAGTCTGGCTCCATCCTCCTTCAACCCACCCTTTAGATCCTTGGAAGCATTAAGAAGGTCTCCCCTCAGCCTTCTCTTCTCCAGGCTGAAGAGCCCCAGCTCTCTCAGCCTTTCCTCAGCAGGGAGATGCTCCAACCCCTCCATCATCTCTGTTGCCCTACGCTGGACTCTCTCCAGCAGTTCCCTGTCTCTCTTGAACTGGGGAGCCCAGCACTGGAGGCAGGATTCCAGTTGTGGCCTCCCCAGTGCAGAGCAGAGGGGGAGAATGACCTCCCTCCACCTCCTGGCCACACTCTTCCCTCTGCAGCCCAGGATCCCATTGGCCTCTTGGCCACAAGGGCCCATTGCTGGCTCCTGGAGAGTTTAGTGGCCACCAGGACCCCCAGATCCTTCTCCTCAGAGGTGCTTTCCAGCAGGTCCATCCCTAACTGATACTGGTGCCTGGGGTTCTTCCTCCCCAGGTGCAGGACCCTAACACTTGCTCTTGTTGAACCTCATGAAGTTCCTGTGAGACCTGCTCTGGGTGACCCTGCCCTGGCAGGGGGTTGGAGGAGATGATCTCCAGAGGTCCCTTCCAACCCCATGTCATTCTGTGATTCGATGATACGCTGGAGCCCCAGAGAGAGGTGTGCAAGGCCTGGGCTGGGGAGTGATTAGATAAGTGAATCAGGGCCTCGGAGCGATTAGAGAAAGAAATCAGGTTTTACACCAATTAGGTAAAGTCCCCGAGAGATTAGATACAGCAGGGGCTGCAGAGAGA